TGAAATATGCTGTGGTAGGAGGTTAGGAGGTTCTGGGTTACACCCCCACTTTGGACCAGGGGTCTTTCTGTGTGGTGTTTGTGTTTTCAACGGGAACACCGGTTTCTTCCCGCAGTACAACAACATACATGTTAGGCTGCCTTCAGGCCCAGGACGACCTTGAAAAAGTGACCTCTGTGGATTTTCCTGTTAAAGAAAGGTCAAAAAATAAAAACTACCAGATCTTACAGCCTGATTAACCTTCAAATGGAGGAGTGTTCCCTCCATCGGAGCTGGCCTCAGAAAACGTTCTGTAGTTGTTACAAAACAACTTGGACTCACCACAGTTTGATTTATCTGTGCTTTATCGTGTTTTATGTTGTTTTGGCCATTTGAATGATCTTTTAAGATTTTTTTTTTTGTGTGTGTGCTTTTCTCGCATTGCCATTGTTGTCTTTTCTTACTTTTGTTATTGTTTGCTAAATGCTTCACAAATAAACTGACATTAGCACGTTCAGATGTTCATGACGCGGCAGATGTTTGTTTCCTGACTCAGTGCTGAACATCTGCTGACTGCAGTATCATAAACACTTCATGAGAGCAGCGTCATGTTATTTATCATCCAGTTGGTCCTTCGACGCAGCAGAAGCTTCGGGGCTTTAATGTTTCATTGTGGTTCAGTTTTAATCCTCTGAGCAGGTGCTTAAAAAAAGACTGGTTTTAAGAAAATCTGTTTATCACTCGTTTTCACTGTCACTTCTGCCAAAATGAGGTCGTTACAGACTCATTAAGAAATGGTCTCAGCAAATCCAGTTGATCACGAGCAGCTGGTCTGTAATGAGTGACACCAATCAAAAACCATTTCCAGCCATTTGATTGACAAACTGAACCTCACAAGAAGAATATCCTGATGCATGCTTAATAATCCAGGTAGAAAAATCTTTAAAAAAAAAGTGACATCTGGTCCTCTGGACATTCAAAAAACAAAACAAAGCAAAACAAAAAAAAGGTAGAAACGTTTCGTCTTTCATCCGAGAGACTTCCTCAGTCTGAGGTGCTGTATTCAGCTCAGTCTCTTAAATAGCACCTTCTCATAGTGGATCAACCAGTTTGCTGCTGACAACCAAAACCAGCTGATCACATGCTCAAGAAGGACCATCAGCCTAACAATAGATCATTAGCACACTGATGGCTGTTTACTATTCACAGAGGGTTGAGTGATACTAGCAATCACAGCATTGTAAGAGGCAACAAAAAGACCACGGACAGCACCTCAGACTGAGGAAGTCTTTCGGATGAAAGACGAAACGTTTCTACCTTTTTTTTGTTTTGCTTTGTTTTGTTTTTTGAATGTCCAGAGGACCAGATTTAACTTTTTTTAGACTCACAAGAAGAAGCTTGCTCTCACTGTAGATGAGAGCTGGTTTGGCTGCAGAGCTCTCACCTGACCGTGCACGCTCACGATGACCACGGTGTTGGAGTGGTTACAAACCAGGAAGTGCTCGGGGTTCTGGGGAAGAGGAATCACACTGTTGACTGGGACGCCCGGCGCCGCTGACGGACATTTGAACGTGTGAATGCATTCACAGGATTTCACGTTCCAGATCTGAGAAGATCCACAGAACAGAAGGTTGTTTTAGGTTCCAGTGTGTTCCAGCACCACCCCACCCCCAGCATCTGGAGCTTCTGGTTTACCTTAACGGATCCGTCAGATGAAGCGCTGATGATGTGAAAACTGTCATGAGTGAAGGAAGCATCAGTTACAAACGATGAGTGGCATCTCAACTCCTTCAGCGTCTTCCCTGACCTCAGTTCATGGATTCTGGAAAAGATGTGATGAATTAACAGACAAGAGCAGCACGGGCTGATGTGAACAAACATCTGCATCACTTCATCTGTTTCTGAAGAGCGGAGCGGGCGAAACGTGTTGCTGCTGGCCCTATTTTTAGCTCCTGTTCAAGCTAGACCGTGACAAAACGCACCCCCCCCCCTCCTCCCCCCAGCTCATTCACTCTGTGTCTTGGCAGAGGATTTACGATTTGTAAAATAAAAAATAAATTCTGCAGGATGAGGTGCACGTTGCAGCTTTGTGCCTGAGCACATGGTAGCTCAGGTGCACCCACACAGCACATGTGCCTTCAGTTCAGCTCCCCAGCAGGAGGCAAAAATAACACGCAACCCCCTCCACCAGTCCAAGAGTGCACGATGTGAAGAAAGTCCTGAGGAAAGGTTATGACGGATTCAAACCTAAATGGATTCTTAAACCACGTCAGTCTCAAAACTCTTCCACGCAAAAAACATTTAAAAAAAATCTTTACGTCAATTTGTGCAACACAGATGTTTATGGTTATTTATTAGCACTAACAGCAGCAGCAGCTAGCTGTAGCATTTCCAGTGAAGCTTGGGTCACTTCCAGCAGGCGTATGAGAATATTTATGTGGGAATATATGTGTTTTGTGAACGTGACAGCAGGGTGAAGGTTATAAAAAGCATCTGCACGAGGTCATATCGAGACGTGACGTCACTAAAGACAGGAGCAGAAGCTGGAAGTTGAAGCCAGAAGGATTCAGCACCTTCTACGAGGCGAGCCACCGTACAAAGTCAACACGTGGGACGATTTCCTGACTACAACAGTCAAATACACTTCAGATAATGTTTGTCAGGCGTTGAGTTTTGTTGATTCGTGTTTTTCTCGCGCTGCCACCAGATGTGCATTTCTCTGCACGTTTAGTTATATATATAT